CTACATTAGACAATTGCACACAACTAAAACTAAAGTAAATTCAATATCAAAATAATTTTTATTTGTTTTCAGATCATTTTCAGATTTTTGTTATCTGGTCATTCAGTAAAACTGTTTTTGTTATAAAAATGTGTTTGGGGTCATGAGGACAGAAATAGTTTCAAACAAATGCAAATAGTCTTACTTTCTTAAACTGTGCTATCTGCTGGCATTTAACTCGCACTGCTTGTGTTAATCTTTTTCTGTGTCTAAGTTTTATTTTTGTCAATGAATTACAATATTGTTTTCAAAAAAGTTGTGTATGGGGTTGAAAAAGTGGAAATAAAAATGCGTTCTGTCTTCCGAATCACAACTTTTTTGAAAATGGAGTTCATTTAAGGACTTTGGGGAAATTTTCAATCACAAGATTACTCTGGTTTGATTAAACTGTGTCCAAAATGAGAAAATGAGAGTGGCATTAACTGTGACGAAAGACGATTTGAGCCGAAACAGCTAAATGCATGATACAAATATTTCCTCAAAGATGAGCAAGAAACACTTTTTAATCTTTGGAAATGGATTTGAATGACCATGCAGTCGGCTGCATGTAGGAATGCTCTCTGGCTTTTATTCCTCACTCCTTTTCTTCTTTTGCATTGCTGTCTGCAAATGGATTTGCTTCACAATAGTTCATTGGGTTTTAACTTATTCTACTAATGTCTTGAATGAAATGTGTTTTTATATTCACATTAGAGCTGATGAGGAAAATCATGCTTTTTTGCTGGAATGTTTTAGTTGTTTCTAGTACAAAATGAAGGAAACAGTTTGTCCTTTTTCTTTTATTTTTAATCAATCATTTTTCATCAAAATGTTGGATCTATTTTTACTTTAGGTTACGCCAAACCTGGCAATCCACAAAACACCACGCCTGGAGTCAACAGTGGGCCCCTTCTTGTTCCTCATGTGTCCACTCCTTCAACCCCTGTCCCACCCCAGGTTTCACCAGCCCCACCTCCTCCCACTACCCCAATTACACCAGTTTTCCCTGGCATGGTGCCCTCCCACCATGCCAACGCCCCCTCTCCTGCACCTGCCCCATCTCCATCTGTGATCAAAGCAGGACCGCAGACCCCCAGTGGACATGTCACACCTACACCCTCATCTGTCATTAAAGCCCACACCCCATCAGGCACCCCCTGTGGGACTCCTGTCCCCGGCAGCGGGGGATTCCCTTCTTCCCCTTTCCATGCCCTCTCTCGACCAGACACCCCTGCAGCTTCCCAGTCACAGACAAACTCCATGGGCTCAACTCCACAGAGGTCTTACTCCCAGTCCTCAGACCAGTCCAACTTCCCTGGAATGCACCCGCAAGCAGGTAACTCCTCTGGTTCAGTGATCCGGAGCTACACCCCCTCTGGTTCATCATCTCTCACTCCTGGATCTTCCACTCCAGTAAACTGTTCCACCCCAGGACCCAGTCCGAAACCCTCTCCTGTCCACCATGCTCAGACTCAGGCTGGATCCCTGAACAAGCCCTCGGGGGGTAGTAACAGTGGCAGCAACAGCCCTGTACCATCAGCTTTTAAAGGCACCTCTCGTTCTGGTACACCATCCATTAGCTCCCTGGTGCAGCCAGGCTCTGCTCAGGCCACCCTGTCACGTTCCTTAGGTCTATCCCACCCCTCAGGTTCCCCTCAAGTCTCTCTCCCTAGCCCTGTTCCCATCACTGGCCTCCAAGCATTGTCTTCCAGCCCAGCACCATCTCATTATCCAGGCCTCGCTCCTTTTCCAGCTCTGTCTTCTTCTCTTCCTTGTGCCACCATCCATTCATCTGTGCCCACAATGACCTCCACCACCAACATAACTAACCACCCACCAACCTCCATATACCCAAGTTTAGCTCCTAGTGCCACTCCTGCTGCAGCCTCTCCTTTTGGGCTGGGCCTCACCTCTGCCCCATCTATATTCCAAGGCCTTCCACCCGGGGCTAGCCCTACCGCCTTTCCTGGACTGGCTGTGTCAGGGGGTACCAGGAGCCCCGTGTTGCCTTCATTCATGGGACTGTCAGGAGCAGCTCCAGCTTCTGTAGCATCAGTGGCTCCGCTGCAGGCTGCAGCCGCAGCCGCAGCTGCCGCGGTCGGGGTTCCATCATCATCCCCGGTCTTACCTGGTTTTGCATCTACTTTCAGCTCCAATTTTCAGACTGGGTATGTGAAGTTTGAATTTTTACTGCCCTATATATATA